CCATGTCACCTCTCATGCCACTGTCTTGAATCCCTCCATTCTAGTTTTTTTTGAGCATTCCTCTTTCAACTGTGCATTATTTGGAAGTGTGTTATTTAATTTCCAGTTGTTTGTGGGATTTTCCTGTTCTTTTTTTCCCTTTTATGGTCTTCAGTCTCAGTACATTATGGTCAGAAAATGTACTTCCTATAATCTAAATCACTTACAATTGTTTTCATTTCTTTTATAATGCAGGATGCAGTCTGACTTGGAGAGTGTTCCATATGCACTTGAAAAGAATGTGTGTCTGCTGCTGTTGGGTAAATTTTCCGAGAAACAGCAATTAGAGTCAGGTTGTTTGATGGTGTTCATTTCTATAATAGACTGCCATGGAAACATGAGTGACAAGTGAGAAAATGGATTAGCAAATGCAGACAGCACTTTCAAAAGCTTTGACTGTGAGGCAAGGGAAAGAGGAGTTCTATTAAAGATGAGAATGACTGGAGTGTGTCTAAGTGTAAGTGGAAGGATTCAGTGGAAAGAATGGTTGAGTACACAGGGAAATTGATTATGTATGTTTCCTGTGAAGAAGAGCTTCCAAAGCAACAGCCCTGGATTGTCCTAAGGAAAAAGATACTTTTTCTAATAATGTGGAAGGAAGAAAAGTTAAAAACCTCTAGTGGCTTTCCCATACGAGTTTAAAAGATGGACTCCTCTTCCAGGCCTTCAGAGCATTGCACTGTTTTGTTTCTCATTACATCTTTGACCTTAACTCAAGGCCCTCCTATGTCCTTCATTTCTATGCTGTAGCTATAGAAATGAACCCAAACTTTAAAAAAAATGAGTTAATATTTCTAGAGCACTTTTAGGTTCATAGCAAACTTGAGCAGAAAGTATGGAGTTCTCATATACCTGCTGATTTCACACATTCACAGCCTCCCCAACTGTCAACATCTTGTGCCAAAGTGGTACATTTGTTTAAAACAGTGAACCTACACTGACACCTCCTAACAATCAAAGTCCATAGTTTATGTTAGGGTCAGTCTTAGTATTGTACATTCTGTAGGTTTTGACACGTGTATAATAGCATGTATCCACCGTTTTAGTATCGTAAAGAATCGTTTTGCTTTCCTTAAAATCTTGTGTGCTCCACTGATTAATCCCTCCCTTCCCCTGTTCCCTGCCATCCACTGATCTTTCTACTGTCTCCATAGTTTTGCCTTTTCCAAATGTCATGCATTTGGACTCATACAGTATGTAATCTTTTCAGATTGGCTTCTTTCACTTAGTAATATGCATTTAAGGTTTCTCCATGTCTTTTTATGGCTTGATAGCTCATTTTTTTTAGGATTGAATAGTATTTCATTCTTTGGATGTACCTTACCAAAGGACATCTTCATTGTTTACAAGTGTTGGCATTTATGAATAAAGCCTCTGTAACCATCCATGTACACATAAGCTCTCATATCATGTGGATACATATCAAGGAGCATGATTGCTGGCTTGTATGGCAAAAGTATGTTTACTTTGTAAGAAATTGCCAAACTGTGTTCCAAAGTGGCCATTGTTTATCAGTAAAGCTTAATTTTTATTTGTAATTAATTTGAATTTAAAAGATAAGAGTGCTAGCATTTCCTTCTGACACTGCTGTGGACTCTCCCATACTTCTGTTCAGAGAGGACAAGCTCGTTCTTGCCTTGTGACATTTGTCCTTTCGTCAGAGGCTGCCTTTTGTATGGCTGGTTCTTCTCCTTTGCCCTTTCTAAATTTGTTACTCTCTTTTTATTTTCTCCATAGTACTCTGGTTGCTTCATAGTTACTGTGAAAATAAATAACACTTTTGAACAATTCATGGATGGAAGGAAAAGTCTGAAAGGAAACTAAAGCATACTTAGGACAGGTTGAAAATGAAAATTACAGCATATCAAAATTTGTGGAATGCAGCTAAGGTTATGTTGAGAGGGTAATTTATAGCATATAATGCCTGTGTTAGAAAAGAGGAATGATCTCAAATCAGTAAGCTTCCATCCTAAGAAACTAGGAAAAGAAAAAAAAAGTCTGATTGAACCCAAAACTTTAAGCAAGTAGAACAGCAGAAATCAATGAAATTAAAAGCAGGAAAACACTAGAAAAAAATGAGACCAAAAAAAGGGTGATTGTTTTGAAAACATCAGTGAATTCTAGAACATCTAGCAACCGTGACTAAGGTAAAAAAAAAGACACAGATGACTGATATTAGGAATGAAATGAGATATAATTACAGATCCTTCAGCTACTAAAAGAATAATGGAATACTGTGAACAACTCTCTGCACATAAATTTCACAAGTGCATATAAATGGTCCAGTTCCTTAAAAACCACACACTGTCAAAACTTATCCAGTATGGAAATAGAAAATCTGGATTTTTCTTTAACTGTTAAAGAAATTGAGCACATAATTTAAAACCTTTCATAAAAGACATTTGGAACAAGACAAGGATGTCTACTCACCACTCCTATTGAACATTGCACTGGAGGTTCTAGCGAGGGCAGTTTAGACGAGAAAGGGAAATAAAAGGAATACAGATTGGAAAGGAGGATGTAAAACCATTCCTATTTGCAGATGGCATGATAGTCTGTGTATAAAGTCCCAGGCAATCTACGTTTAATGATGTTGCTTGGGGTTTTCTCAACTCTGAACTTCTTTTTAATATGTTGTTTTACCATCTTCTCTCTGAGCTTTTGTTGAATTCATGGAGGGAGTGAATCTGGAGGCATGCCCTAAAGCCTTTTTTGAAGGATTTGGACTCTACTCTTCTGAGATTTTTGTTGACTGTCTTACACCAGCTTTTTAAATCACTTGTTAGGAGAGTACATGGAATTCTGTGAGAGTTGGGATAATTTCCCACAACTAACATAAAAGCAATGAAGCTTGAGCCTTAGTCAGGGGCAGACAGTTGCATTGTTGGCTGCTCTGTTTCACCTCTCTGCACCTGTCAAAAAGAGGGAAATGATAACTCCTGTTCTTGTGTATTGACTCATGTTTTTAACATTTAGGTAAATTGTATATAGTGAATAAACTTTGGGAAGCACAGATGTAGAGGTCTATAAACTAATGTTAGATATGGTAGGAATCATTTGAAAAATCTTTTTGCTTACTATTAAAATGTTTGAGGTATTTATATTGTCCTTATTCTCTTGTGTTTAATATCTGACTTACACTATTTCTGCAGAATCACGTGACAAATACAGTTGAAAAAGAAGATATCCATAGGTGTTATTCTTACTTTACCGAGGACTTTTTTGATCTCTTTGTGGGAAGAAAATCCTGTATGAGCAACTATGCTTTTCCTTGCATTAGGAGATAATTCTCAGTGCCTCTCAGTGCCTGTGAGCAGAGACACTGATGGCTTTTATCCAGACTGTTTTTTAAGTATGTGTGTATAGTGAGCCTTGGAAGATGGAGATGATGGCTTCCTTCAAAGCACAGGATAGATTTTCTTGCAGCCCATCCATTGTAAAAGGCTTGGGCTTTTTCTCCTGTAACATAGCTCACTGTTTGCACTTGTGTTATCTGTCCCCTCTCACTTTGCCTTTGAGATTGAATAATTTATGCAAAAATGAAGGTATTCTGGCTGTTGTCATTGCTGGGAGAAATAAATTGTCCTCTTTAATCAGCAATTTCATTTCTTCTGCCAGCATCAAGGAAACTAGCATTCTAATTTGTTAGTGTGATTTCTACTCTTCTGACACCGAATGCTGTGGTGTCTTCATTTCTTACATTATATGTATAACAATAACAATATTACACACAGCAATAATAGTAGTATAACTTCATTTGGGTTCCTGAACCTGATTCCAGTGTGTAAGTATGTGGAGTCTTCCCACACATACTAACACAAAGCAATTCTCTAACAGCAGAGTGTTGGAGAACTCAACTCAATTCTAATGCTGTCTGCATAGAGATACCACCCAGTTCCCCAGGTTAAGGGCTCTGTCCCACAAGACTGGCCTCTATTCCCCATTCCAGATGCCCGTTGCAAGCCCCAGGCAGTCCCTTGTGCCTCTGACCTACAGGCTACAGATTGGAGGTTCCCACAACCTTCCCCTTAGGATTGATTAGTTTGCTAGAGCAGCTCACAGAACTCAGGAAAACATTTAATGTTTACCAGTTTAATAAAGGGTACCATAAAGGATACAAGTTAACAGCCAGATGAACAGAGACATAGGGTAAGATCCCAAGTAAAGAAGCTTCTATCCTGGTGGAACTTGGGGCCTGACTCGGTGACACGTGGAAATGTTCTGGTTCCCCAAGTATAGAAGCTCTTCCTGACTGAGAAACAGGATCCAGCCCAGCAGAGCAGAGAGAAGAGATGAGCAAGTCTTCTCAGGCATTCTTGTGAGGGCCTCATTGCATAGTCATAATTGACTATATTATTGGCTATTGGCTGATTCAACCTCCGCCCCTGCCCTTGGGTGGGAGGGGTCCAGAAGTCTCTAGTTATCATGCCAAAACACCTATTTCACCTTTAAGACTGTAGTTTTCAGGAACTGTGGGTGAAAACCAAATATACCTGGGAAATACGTATTTGGTCATATGAATGATGAAATATATATTTCTTAAAAGTCATTATATCACAGTTAGGTTGTAAGTAGAGTAAAATATCAGACCCTTCACAGTTCTTGATATACTTTACACACATTATTAATCAAACAGCATTAAAACCAAACGAAACAAAACTACTGTGTCAATTGCTTTGTTAGGCCTAGATGAAGAGTACAGGATTAGAGAAGTTGAGTAGTTTATCTGAGGTCTACACCTCTTAAACCAGTCACACATACTCTGCTCCCTGTAATTGTTCTGTCTTGAAGGCATTTTATGTAAAGTAATAAATATTATGGCATGCTTTACTGTATGAAAGAAATTAGCATAATTTTTACTCTTTATGTGGGATTATTGAAATTTAAATTAAAATGTGACATGTAAGTTAAATGCTTTGATAGTTTTCTTTTTAAAAACATGTTTTGTTTTTTTTTTTAAGAATTGTTCTCTGTGTACTTCAGGCTGTATCTTAAACCTTCACAAGACATTAATAGAGTTTTAGTTGCTAGAATAATTGAAGCTGTGACCAAAGGAAGCTGTTCACAAACTGATGGATTAAATTGCAGATTTTTGGAGTATTTTTCCAAGGCTATTCAGCATGCAAGGTAATATTTGTTTTGTATTGAAAATCCATTTGATCTTCTTTTAAGACTACATTTTAGGTTTAGTAACTAAGCACATTACCAATTTAGAACTGGTGATTCCCAAAGTAAATGTGAGATACAGCAATACCTGAAATCCAACATGAAGAACATGAAATGATGTTTCTAGGTGAGAAATTTGTCTTGCTTTTCTAATGACAGGAAAAACTAAGTACCTCCTATGCAGTTTCAGTACTAAGAATGAAATAAAATAGGAATATAATTTGGAAGTATCAGTATCTTTGTGTGAAATTGCCCAACTTAAAATTTGTAAATTGCAGGTATTAAAATCAGTTTTGCATAATTTTAGGCAGTGTTGTAGCAGCAGGGAGAGCTAACAGGAGTGGTATCTGAGCACAAAATAAGAACTTCTTTTGTTGCTATGTAGTGCTGTGATTTTTTTCTGAATAGTTCTGAAACTAAGGCCATTTTTATTTGAAAATTAGAATATTTTTCTTGCAGTGTATTGCTTACAGTATGTGACTTCATAACTGTCTTAATTTGTGTATTTCCCTCCATTCTTAATATACCAAGATAAGTCTCTTTGTTTTTTGTCATAGACAAGAAAAGAGCTCTCCAGGTCTAAATCATATCTTAGCAGCACTTATTATCTTCCTCAAGACTTTGGCTGTTAACTTTCGAATTCAAGTATGTGAATTAGGAGATGAAATTCTTCCTACCTTGCTTTATATTTGGACTCAACACAGACTTAATGATTCCTTAAAGGAAGTAATTATTGAATTATTTCAACTGCAAATTTATATCCATCATCCAAAAGGAGCCAAAACCCAAGGAAAAGGTATAAAGGAAGTTTTTACTGTTTGGAATTTGCTTCTTCATTGAGGAATAGAGGTTTAAGTATAAAATCTGTATTTTGTAGGAGGTTATGACTTTCCTCTGGATTACTGTGCTTGGTAATGGTATTTGTCATGAAGATATTTTTCATGCTTTTTTTTAGAATTTGTAGCTGTGGTAACAAATCATATTATGCGTTATCATGTGTTTAGTACAATGAGGAATACAAATAAATAGACACAGACTGTATAAATAAAATGATTTACAGAAGGCAAGATCTTGTTTATCCATATGCTTCTTTTCTTAGAAGGTAAAATAGATAAATGTGCGCTGAAATCAGCCAGTCAGATAAGCCAGTTCCTAAGGATGATAGGAACATACTGTCTTAAACCTCATAGTTATTCCAAGCCTGGTTTCCTAGAAAAACCAGAAATGAATGACTTAGCCTCCCTCGATTCCTTTACCTTGATTTGTCTTTGACCAAGGGAGTATTGCTTGGACGGTGTAATTCCATTTAGTAGACAGGAACATTTTTGCATAGAACTAGAAATGAATGAGTTCTGTTGTACTCAGCCTTTCATCTTGTATTAGCCTTTGGACCAATTCACCATGAGTAGTTGAATGACCTTACAAAATCATGCAATACTGAGTAGTGGCAGCTGAAACGGAGGAACATTGTTATAACTACTTCTTATCAAAATTAGCTGTGTATGTTTCCAGGGCTCTTCTAGTATGTACAGTTATGTATATTTGTAGCCCATGAAACCACTGTAAGTCAAAGAATGGTGGTAGCTTTTCTTAGTTTTTCATCTCTTACATAGCTCTCACTCGGATGAAAATTAGGCTTACTAGGAGAGGGTATGACTCGTTTAGGGTTTTAGTTAACTACATATTTAGGATGAATTGAACATTGGCAGGATGATGAGGTTGCCAGGTATACTAATATAATTTTAGGTCACATTAATAGTTTTCTGTTTCTTTGTGGGAAGTGATAGCACCATTGTTCCCCATACTGGTGCACCAGATTTCTGTAAAGTCACCATTATTATTAAGAGGGACAGAAGTTGACTGGATTGTGTCTAGGAAAAGGTGAATGGGATGATGGATGACATGCATGTCATTTGTACTCTAAAGAACTGGTAATGTTTTACTCCTAAAGACATACAAAGAACTTGGTCCTCATGAAAAAGGCAGTGTATTTGCTTCAGGGGAAAGAAGAAACTAGAGAACGTTTGAATGAGATTTTTGATTGAGTTGATTAGAGAGATCAGATTATGGAGGAATTTTATAACAAATACAGTTAACTGAGTGTGAAATGGACACCACTACGAAGTAGAGCTTGTCAAGTGTATTGTCAAAGAAGACATTAGTACTGAATGGAAGACAGACCAGATGTCTTCTGATGTTGTTTAACATTAGGCACCTTAACAGCTGAATAGTTTTGTGGGAGCTGGCAATACAAATGGAGTGCATATATATAAATTATATTTTAATTTTTTTTGAATTATAGGTTCTTATGAATCAAGAAAATGGAAAAATATCTTATACAACTTATATGATATGCTGGTTAATGAAATAAGTCATATAGTAAGCAGAGGGAAATACTCTTCAGGGTCTCGTAATATTGCTGTCAAAGAAAACTTAATTGAATTGATGGCAGATGTTTGTCACCAGGTATAGTGTATCTTGTCATATTTTGAAATTTCCCATTGATTTTCTCTTGCTGGGCTTTTAAAACCTGTGTTCTTATAAAAAGCCTATACAACTACTACAATAAAAGTACATGTAACTGTTCCTTTGAAAACATCATTAATATTTGAATTGCCCTTCTGACTTAAAAGATAACTCCTTTGCACATTTAAGCATAGTGAAAACTAATGATGAACTCTTCCATTTATAAAAGATTATCTGCAGAAAGCAATATTACCTTGTCCCTAGTGTTTCTTTTTTTTTTTTTTTACTGAAAAAGCAATCACGTAACATAAATTCAGTATTATGATGTATATAGTTCAGTGGTTTTCTGTATTTTCACTGTATTCTGCAGACATTACCAGTGTCTAATTTCAGAACATTTCCATCACCCCCAAAAACCAGCTTCATGCCTATTAGCAGTCAATCCCTATTTCCTACTTCTTCCAGTCTCAGCAACCAACCACTAATCTACTTTCTGTCTCTTTGGTTGCTTATTTTGGACATTTCATATAAATGGAATCATACATATGTGATCTTTTGTGTCTGGCTTCTTTCAATTAGTATAATGTTTTCAAAGTTCATCTATGTTGTACTATGAGTCAATATTTTATTCCTGTTTATTATGTGGATATATTACCACATAATATGTCACTTGGTAATACCTGCCTTTTAGAGAGCCATTACAATCGTGCAGAATGTTTGTTACTGTTTTATTGTATTTATATATTTCTGTAATTTGTTATTCTTGCTTTATGAGTTCCCTGTATCTTCATTTGAGGAGGTGAATGACTATTAGAAAACAATACAATATAGAAAAAAAAAGAGGTTTTCCTTTGTTATTTTGTAGGTTTTTAATGAAGATTCCAGAGCTTTGGAGATTTCTCTGTCTTATACTACCACACAGAGAGAATTTAGTGATTACAGTGCACCTTGCAAAAAGAAGAAAATAGAATTAGGCTGGGAAGTAATAAAAGACCACCTTCAGAAGTCACAGAATGATTTTGATCTTGTGCCTTGGTAAAATGTTATCTTTTTTTTCTATTGTCATGTTAGTCTAATTTAGTTTTTCTCAGAAGGCCTCTAGTAGAATCCTTTATCTCAATGGCCTGGCCAAAACTATGTCATTTATCCACTTCAAACTAGTTACTGATAAAAGGGAAGGTGATTGCAGGACATGTTGAGATCAACCACCATGGCTCATCTCTGGGGCCAGGCACAGGGCCACCTTTCCTAAGCATATTGCCATAGTGAGGAAGAAAGGAGAATGGCTCCCTGTAGACAACCAGTAGTTTGTACATCATGGAATTCACTGCATTGTACACCTCAACACAGAGATTTTAGCATACATAGCACCTTCTAATAGAATTAGATTAGGAAGAAATTAAATATAGCATTCCAAAATCACAGAATAATTTGGACCTTATGCCATAATAATAAAGGGGTATTTTTTTGTTACATTCTTTAGTTTCAAATGGCATTCATAATTACTTAAATAATAAATCATGGAAATCTGTAAAAATCACAAAATACTATATTAGGTCTGGTAGGAATCTTTATAGTTCATCCTGTCCAGCCTGTTTGCTCTACTAAAAAGAAAACTGAAATTGAGATAAGTTAAACAGTTTACCTAAGGACAGTCAGGAATTTGTAGATTACAGTCAGACTTTTGTGATAATGGTCTTTTGGTTTTTAACATGTTCACGTAATGTTTAAATATAATTGAGGGAGGGGGCAAGCGTATTTTTTAGTTACCTATTGCTTAAGCTCATGTTTATTTTATATAGTTGAGGGTACCTATTTCAGATTTTTTTATCCATTTAGTCAAAGAGTTTTTTATTGAACATGTGCTGTGTGCCAAATATAAGGGAAACAGAGATGAATAAGGTAAAGTTCCTATTCTTGAGTAGCCCACATTCTGGAGAACTTGGAGCAAATATTTATTAAATGAACTGAATTAATGTCAAGAAAAACCAGTTTGTTGTGTTTTCCCTGTTTTGCAGTAATATTATTGGTGGCTGAAGTGCAGGGGTAGGTGCAATAACTCAGAGGTATAATATTGCCTATTTAGTTAACGTTTTTGTGTAAGGGAAATATGGTAGCTTATCCAGGAAGCCTAAAAGTTGTCAGTGTTCCTGGCACTTTAGAAAGTAGGGCCTAATAAAATTAAGAGCCATTTTACTATGGTTATATTCTAGTTAGGGTATTATTAAGGGTACTATGTCTATATTTTAGCTTGTTTAAGAAATTAAATAATTTTCAAACTATTTATACTTTTTTTCTTTTAGGTTACAGATTGCAACCCAATTAATATCAAAATATCCTGCAAGTTTACCTAGCTATGAACTGTCACCAGTACTGATGATACTCTACCAGCTTCTACCTCAGCAGCGACATGGTGAACGCACACCATATGTGTTACGATGCCTCACAGAAGTTGCATTGTGTCAAGGCAAGAAATCAAACTTAGAAAGCTTACAAAAGTCAGATTTATTGAAACTCTGGATTAAAATTTGGTCTATTACATTTCGTGGTATAACTTCTGAACGGATACAAGCTGAAAACTTTGGCTTACTTGGAGCCATAATTCAAGGCAGTTTAATTGAGGTTGATAAAGAATTCTGGAAGTTATTTACTGGGTCAACCTGCAGACCTTCATGGTAAGTTGAGTGTGCATTGTATTAGAATTTGCTATGCATGTTTTCTTTTCCCTGATTTTTATAGTTTGTAACTTCACTTAAAAGATATGTTAAATTATATTTCAGATGCTTTTGTTGTTTGTCCAGGAAGTCTTAATAAATAAATGTAGATTTAGTTTCAAATGTAGAGAGACTATTAAAACCAATTTTAAAGAATTAAGCAACTGACAATATATCTTTTATCTGTAACTGACAATGGTTTGCTCAATATTCATAAACTTTTTTTTTTTAATAGTACCACATATTGTTACGATAACATATAGTTCTTAGTCAAGAACCTTCTCAAATGTAATCAGGCTTTTTACAAATTTGGGGGTTCATTTCATTAACAGAAGTTTACCGTATGTCTACCATGTGCCGGGCACTGTCCTAAATATTGGTGGCACAGTGGTAAATAAGACAGGTAAGGTCCCTGTTCCTCAAAGAGCTTACTTTTAACAAGTGCTCTTTGTTTTGTTATAGTCCTGCAGTATGCTGTTTGACTGTGGCACTGACCATCTTTGTGGTTCCAGAAACAGTAAACACAGGAATGGACCAAAATATATGTGAAGTAAATAGAAGTTTTTCTTTAAAGGAATTGATAATGAAATGGCTCTTATTCTGTCAGTTAGAGGATGACTTTGAAGAAAGTACAGAGCTTCCTCCAATTCTTCACAGGTAATTTGAGTTTATTAGCATGCTGCTGTTTTGTGTTTTTTTTTTTTCTAATTTTTTTTGGTTAGGTGCCCTCCATTACTTATTTGATAGTAGATGGCTTTATTTTACAGTGATTATGCAGGATTTGTGAGTGCTAGGATTTGTGAGTGCTAGCCCTTAATATTAAACAGTCCCTTTTTTTGCATAGTGTTCTGTGTCTTTGTGCCTGAATCTTTTTCTAGGTCCTATTACTTTGTTCTTGTCTCTCTGCCTCCCTAGACAGAGTAAGGAGGATGTGCATGAAGAATATGAATATAAATTTATAAATCTTCTGTGTTCCTTTGTGATTTTTTTGTAAATAGATCCATCTGAGCATATATCCAACTCAGGTGTTTTCTGCAATCGTAAGAGTGAAATAGGATGAAATATCATAACTGCAGAAAATGAAAGAAAGACAACATGAGACTTAAACACTAGGATGGGGAGCAGCTTGCCCTCTTAAACTTATCCTTAGTAGGTAGTTGGAACTGAATGATTGGAGGTCAGACCTCTAGGTCCTTGTGCTTTTGCTGTGGTTTCATAATTATTTGAGGAATGGTCTTTAAAAAGTAGACATGAGTTTGCTTCCGGGAAGTGTTGAAAATGACAGTAATATAAAATGTATGTGCCATAAATTCTTTCAGATGTTAAGAAATTTAGTACGGATTAAAGCAATTTTAATTTGGATCCAAATTTTAGAGGGCAAGGTTTATAACCAAATATAGACATTTAAGTTCAAGGAATGCTTTAAATGGCTTTTGGTCTTCTTTGTGAAGATTTTTCTTTTTCTTTATAGTAATTTTCCTCATCTTGCACTGGAGAAAATTCTCGTGAGTCTCACTATGAAAAACTGTAAAGCTGCAATGATTTTTTTCCAGAGTATGCCAGAATGGTATGTTATCTAATGGAATTCTGTTATTTTAAGACACAGCTTTGAATACAAGCATGATGATTTTAGCAGAGTAGTAGCTATGTCTTAAAAATTATGAACTAAATTGTTCAATTAAGAAAATCACAACTATTAGCCGGGGAAAAGTTTCTTTTAAGTCAATAATTGTAATCTATGTTCTGTAGTTTTAGGTGTAGTTTACTGTTTTTTAAACCAGTATAGTATAGCATGACATTTGCCAATGGAAGAAGTACATAGTTATGATGCAAAATTAAGATGCAAAATTAAGAACATAAAAGTTATGTGAAATGAGTTCTTTAAAAATGTGACCCATTTTTGTATGTTGATTAAATTCTGACTATTAGCTTTAGAAACTAATGATAACTGAGGTGTTAGGGAAAACAAAAATGAATCTAAATACCTCCTTTTAGCTAAGTGAAGAGGCTTATGTTTATCACTGTGAAAATGACTCAGCATAAAGATTTCTAATCTCCCTCAAGAGTGATGAAAAAAAATTCTGGATTTTGTAGAACTCAAAGGTGAAAAAAGGGGAAATGTCTCCAGATGATGTTATTCTTTGAGTTTATATCTGGTGTTATTAATGTTTTCTTTTTAATACTTTCAGAATTTGCCTTAGAGATTGTAATTTGTATTTCTTTTGTCCATCTATTCATAAAATTTGTTACTGAATAATGAAATTGGGTACAAGTAGGTATCAAAGTCCAGGAAGAGAAACAATAAAAGAATAATCCATTATGTAAAGGAAGTCTGAATAATATACGAATGTTTTCATTTGTGATATATTGCTGCTATGTGGAGGGAAGTATATGGTCATTTGATTATAAACTAAAAATCTCACTTTCTTGAAGTGAACAACACCAAAAAGATGAAGAAGAGCCTTCATTCACAGAAGTTGAAGAACTATTTCTGCAGACAACTTTAGACAATATGGATTTTTTAACAACTGTGGAAGAATGTGCTATAGAAAAGCACCAGTCCAGTCCTGGCTTTTCTGTCCACCAAAATCTCAAGGTATCTCTGGATCACTATCTTCTGGGACTAGCAGAACAGCTTCTAAATAACTACTCACCTGAGGTGAGTTTAAAAAAGAACTAAAGCTTATGTTTGATTCAACTTTGGTAGACTGTTAGGAAGGAAAACAGGCAAGAAAGACACTAGGATGGTGAAAGGCTAGCTTTTAAAAGCAAAGTGACAGAACATTGCTACACATACGGGAGGTAGCATGAGGAAAGGAAAATTGAAGAACAACCATTTGTTTCCTTTGCACCTGGGATTCTGGAAGACTTAAAAGCAGTAAAATTCTTTGGGTAGGTTAGTGGGGAATAGTAATGCTTTTGAGCATAAGGATTATATGATGAAAAAGAATCTCTCGATACAGAGGAGGGAGACGTTGTAGAAACAAAAGAACAAAAGTTAAACTAGTCCAATGGATTTGCATGACAATTGAGAAGGAGTGATTAATAAATGTAATAAATGAACTAACAGTTGCCTGTATTTTAGAGGTCATCTAGTAATTACTCAGAATTGATTCCTTTTGTCCTCTTAAAATCACAAACTCTCTTTGTGTACTTCTCTTTTGCAAAAACTTGCATTTCTTATGAGAGGAGATACCTTTTTGTGCATTTCTATTTGTTCAAATCATCTACAAGTCAAAATCTTGCTGCAGCCTTTCTTAGTTAATCTCAGTTATAATAATCATTTTCCAATTTTTATAGTGCTTAGTATTTCTATTTTAAAATGACACTAAGTATCTTCTCTTACCATAGATATTTGTGTTTATGTTTTATACACAAATATCTCTTAAATTATGCTGTAAGTTCCTTAAAGGGCATATGTGTATTTTTATTTATTTTAATATCTTCCTTGATGCCCTTGTTATATGGAAATTATAAAATACTTGTCGAATAAAATAAAACCTACAAGCTACTCAAAGGAGTGAGTTCAATAGCCAGTGATACTGACTGGAAGTAGCAGAGAAGGGACAGTGTGTCTGCTTCATCCATCTTATCCTTAGTTACTGGCATTTTTCTGGATCACAGTTATAACCACTTTCATTAAAAGTAATAGGGTCTTTGTTTTCCCCTAAAGTGACATTTCCTAGACTATATGAGCAAAAAATCTGAAAATCTTATCTTTCTTAATAACCTTTGCAAATTCTTACATAATTCTATAAAATTGGCTTAGCAGTATCTACTCTCAAAGAAATGTGGAGTGTGAAAACCTGAAAAAGTCAAGATTCTTATCTTTCAGAAGCTCAAAATGTCATTTTAATGTCTCTGTACATAAATCTAATTTCTTTTTTTTGATGACAACTTTTAGGATTTATTCTCAGCAACTTTCAAAAATAACATACATAATAGTCATTTAATTATAGTCATGTTGTACATTATCTCCTTAGTACTTATGTATCTTTTATTATTATTATTATTATTATTATTATTATTATTAAGATATCATTGTATATATACATTTGTATATATACAATCTTATAAAGGTTTCACATGAGTAACATTGTGGTTATTACATTCACCCATATTATCAAGTCCCTCCCAGTCCACACCCAATTGCAGTCATTGTCCATAAACATAGTAAGATGCTATAGAGTCACTGCTTGTCTTCTCTGTGCTGTACTGCCTTCCTCGTGACCCCTCTACATTGTGAGTGCTTATTGTAATGCCCCTTAATCCTTTTCTCTCTCCCTCCCACCCCTGCTCACCACCCCCTCTCCTTAGGTAACTGCTAGTCCCTTCTTGGAATCTGTGAGTCAGCTGTTGTTTGGTACTTGTCTTTCTCCACCAGGCTTATTTCACTGTATAAGGATCTAATTTCTACTCATGTTTTAACAGTTATAGACATTTTTTTCCTTTTAGTTTTTTCTTTTTTTCTTTCCTCAATAGCTCAAATATTTAAGAGCCTAATTCATGCAGTACACTGAACACTTAAAGTATTATGAGGTGATACCTTACCTGGCCATTAGGAGATATTGCTGCTAATTTTCCTGAGAATTCTAGTTAGCACAACACTGCAGAGGTCTCAGATGTTTTTTAGAGATACCCAAAATTATGCCACTATTAATTAAATTTTTGTTTCTTAATATGTACATAAAATTTATTCTTACAAAAGATAATCATAGAGTACTCAAAATTATTTCTGAAATTTTATATCTATATCTATCTATGTCTATTTATATATTTATTTGTGTTTTACTTGAAGACTACAAATTCAGAAACACTTGTCCGGTGTTCAAGTCTTTTGGTGGGAGTTCTCAGCTGCTATTGTTATGTGGGTATAATAGCTGAAGAAGAAGCATATGAATCAGAATTATTTCAGAAAGCCAAGGTAGGAGAATTTACTCTAACAAAGATTTGGGTAAATTTGAGTGAAATGTATTCCTGTGAAAATTGGTGTATTTGTTTGGAAAAACAAATTTTTATGTAGTTTAACTCTTCCTCTTTCATTTATGCAGTCTGAGAAGAAGAAGTGATACTATCTGTCCTTCCATATATTTGGAATTATTTTAAGCCAACTATAAATATATTAACTGAAATAGTATCACGTTAAAATTTAATCTCATCAACAAAAATACTGATTTTTATCTGTATTTTGAAAAGTTTTTCCTGTGATCATTTACTCTAAAGAATCCTAGACTGAGCATTAATCAAGTAGGCTCTGCTCTAAGTGTGAAACTTACTTTCATCTCCAAGTACTGTTATGTCAGTGATGAGATTTGTAAGAACAGGGTATGAGATATGTCATTAAAAAATTGTTCATAATCTTTAATTATACTATATAACCAAGTATAATTTCTAAAAACACTTTAATATACCTCTTAAGTAAAACTTTAAAAAGCAGTAACTAAACTGTAATTTTAACTGGAATTTGTATATTTTCTTTCTTCCTTAATAGTCTCTAATGCAGTGTGCAGGAGAAATTATCACTCTGTTTAAAAATAAGACAAATGAGGAATCAATCCTAGACTGAGCATTAATCAAGTAGGCTCTGCTCTAAGTGTGAAACTTACTTTCATCTCCAAGTACTGTTATGTCAGTGATGAGATTTGTAAGAACAGGGTATGAGATATGTCATTAAAAAATTGTTCATAATCTTTAATTATACTATATAACCAAGTATAATTTCTAAAAACACTTTAATATACCTCTTAAATAAAACTTTAAAAAGCAGTAACTAAACTGTAATTTTAACTGGAATTTGTATATTTTCTTTCTTCCTTAATAGTCTCTAATGCAGTGTGCAGGAGAAATTATCACTCTGTTTAAAAATAAGACAAATGAGGAATCTAGAATTGTTTCAGTGAGAAATATGATGAACCTTTGTACAAGCTGCTTGTGTCACTGTACCCAGGTAGGATGCCTTTGCTTGACAGTATAGCCTCTACGAGAGGTTGGTAACTGGTTGGTGGTGTTACCATTTTTTGGTCCATTCGTAAGTTTAGACACTGATTTAAAATTAAATTGAATATTAAATGAAGGTAGATCCAGAGGAATGAAGCAATAGTATTTGCTTCATTGTCTTCTCTGTGCTGTACTGCCTTCCTCATGACCCCTCTACATTGTGAGTGCTTATTGTAATGCCCCTTAATCCTTTTCTCTCTCCGGTGTATTTGATTAAACTACTTACATTATTTCAGGAAGGTTTTTCATTTTTTGTCACTTTTATATACACCTACATAGGTGATTCTTTTATTGCCAGCATATTTCATTCATTCATTTAATGAAAATGTATTGATTACTGGCTATGTGATGTGCATAGTGCACATCCAAAAAGTAAATACCCCAAAAGTAAACAATTCCAACACATACTGTTTCTTTTGCCTCTAACATTGGTAGGAGCACTACTGGGTATTATCTTTGTTTTGATTTGGAGCAGTCTTGAGAGGTAGCTGAGTTAGGTCAAAGTGTTGATGATAATTGGAAAAAACATTTTTAAAAGCTAATATTAAGTACATGTACATATATCAATGTTATTGGCATATATTACTGGCTTTGTACTATATTTTTCTGTGTTTTGGTATAAGTGCGGATGGAGAAGTGGAAGAATAAACTGATTTGAAATTATGCTTGCTTATGTTTAGGGTCAGTAGTTGGTATTTAATGTTCATGTGCAATGAAAGACATGTGCTATAGTTACTATTCTTAAAAAAAAAGGTTAGTGTTTTTGAAGCATTTTATATGTTGTGACCCTCACAGTAAACTTTATCCATGCTTTTTCTGATAGAGTATTTCTAGTATGAAAGAAAAATTCACATTTCATTCAAAGTAGAGAAATATCTGCCAGGAATAATTCTTTTAATTTCTTTGTTTACTTGATTTTTTGTTTGTCTTAATTATAGCACAGTCCAAATAAGATTGCATCTGGCTTTTTCCTACGATTATTAACATCAAAGCTAATGAATGATATTGCAGATATTTGTAGAAGTTTAGTAAGTATGCTTCTTGTTTTACTGCTGATCAGTTATTTCATTGTTTCTAAGATGCTTAAATTTTTTCATTGAAATCTCTTAAATAGGATGCATCTCACAGTATATGGCATCTTATATTTTTAAAACATGGAAATTAAAGTTACTTGCTTTTGGGAGGAGTATATTTGATTGCTTGATTGCTTTTTCATATCAGTACTTTTCTTAGTGCTTGGCTTTTAGTATTTCAGTAAATAATAATAGACTGAATCTTTGTGAGCTAATCATTCAGGGTCATAGCTATTTCTGTGTGACACTTTATCAAAACTGAAAATAATTCTCTATCCTTAAGAAAAAAACAAAGCCTTGCCAGACAAGCAGCTATTTTCACTGTGATACTTATTTTTCTTCTTCCTTACAAATAAGCTTATGCTACACATGCTCTTTTGTCTGGAACAGTGCCTGGCATACATAGTATAGATACTCAAATATGTATCGAATGAAAAAATTTGTAACTTACTTTCACTTAATTTTATAAGCTTTGGTCACTTTTCCATGTTGCTGTACACTGTTACTCCTTGCCTTTTTTTAACATTAGCATGGTATTTCATTAAATGGTAGTAGTATGTATGTATTTTTAGCCCATCTGATCTTAATATTTTAAGTGATTTCTATTTTTTTGTTAAAAGAGTGTTGTGGTAAAGTTTCTTTTACTTTTGGCTACTTATTCTTGTGCATGTGAAGGATGTTGAGTAAATTCTAGCACTGGGATTGCTTGTTCAAAAAGAATGTGAGTTTTACTTTTTGATGAATATTATCACTTTCCTCTGAAATATTCAGTCATCCCAATTTATACTTTTTGCCACAGCCTCATTAATATTGGTTATTATTAAGCTTAATATAAGAAATTTTTAAAGTTTGCCTAATATTCTGTTTTATAGACCTATTGCAGTTTATATATCCATTTTCCTATTGTTAGACATTTAATAGGAATAATACTGCAGTGTTTATACACATGAATCTTGAATTGTTTGATTAGATAAATTTTAACTACATCATGCATCTAAAAGAAGCCAACTCGAACATCTTTTTTCATCTTCTTTGAAGGCATCCTTTATCAAAAAGCCATTTGAGTATGGAGAAATAGAGTCAGTGGAAGAAGATACAGATGAAAATCGGATGGACATAGAGGATCAGTCATCCATGAATCTGTTTAATGATTACCCTGTTGATAGTGTTAGTGATGCAAATGAATCTGGAGAAAGTCAAGGTATTATTGGTAAGTACGTACATATTTCTTGGAATTTTTTTTGAACCTCTTTGTATTGATTTGGCATTATGAAAAACCTCAGAGATAATAATTTAATGCCATTTCATTTTCCCTTAGAGTAGTCTGTTTGTCCCTGCTATGCTTTTTAGATTTCTCTGGGTTTATTCTTTATAGGAGAAATTTAAAATAATTACTAACAATATAGAACCATATGATAGATTATTTAGAAAACAGGGGAGTGGAAAAGTACCTATAATGCTATAACTTGTCTTTTTCTGTTATTTCTCTATCAAAATTATAATCAATATCAACATTGAAATGCTTTTTTATATGCCTTGTCTGTTTTCTTTTAACATTAATTATAAGCAATTTTTATTTAGCTACTTGTATTGATAGTTATGCTTTTTGATGACTTCATAATATCCCAGTTAACATATATATCAATTTATTTGACCATTTTTTATTTTCAGAAATTGGAGTCCTATTTCTCCATAATTAACAGTGCTTCAGTGAATGTTTTGTCAATATACATTTTTCCATAGATATTTCTTGATGATAGAATCCTAGGATAAACTTCTATGAAGAATTTTGAAGCTTTTAGTATGTAATCAATTTCACCATAATTTTGCTTTCCATATACTTTCATCTCTAATATTTTTTTTGGTAGTGGGAGTTTATTGAGTTAGTGTTGAATATACTGTTGACCTTTGAACAATATGGTTTTGAACTGCATTATTTTCAATATATATATTGGGGAGAATTTTTTTGAAGATTTGTGAAAATTTGAAAAAACATTTTCTTTAGCTTAGTTTATTGTAAAATACAGTATATAATATAACATAAAATATGTGTTAATTGACTTTATGTTATCAGTAAGACTTCTGGTCAACAGCAGGCTGTTAAGTTTTGGGGGCATCAAAAGTTATATAGAGCTTTGATTGTCCAATGGGTTGATGCTTCTGATCCTCACATTGTTTATAGATCAACTTTATGTGATTTTTATACCCCATCTTAGTTTTAATAAGTGCTTTTTATTTTTAGGTGCCATGAATCCTTTAGCTGAAGAACATCTGTCAAAGCAAGATCTACTTTTGTTAGATATGCTCAAGTTCTTGTGTATATGTGTAACTACTGCTCAGGCCAATACTGTGTCATTCAGAGCAGCTGATATTCGGAGGAAATTATTAATGTTAATTGATTCTAGTATGCTAGACCCTACTAAATCTCTCCACTTACACATGGTAAGTTAAGTGAAAGGAAGAAGCTCTTCACTTCTGTGTGGTGTTGCTAGCTGGATGTACTGAACTGACGTATGAGAATAATGTACTACCTTTCAGGTCTTGAAATTGCTTCCTTGAGAAATGAATCTGAGACTAGTTGTAAAATACTTTTAATATGCTGTGAAAAAATCTTAAGTGGATACTGAAACTTAGAAACTTCCATGGACTTTAGGATAGATTTATTTTCTGCATATATAGTAGATATAATTAATTATTGTAAATTATTTTAAACTAGGCCAAGAAATACAGACTCTGAATGTAAAAATAATACATATAACATTGTAGTTGAAGTCTGAATCTTGCCTTGACCTTATATATATGCTTTAAAATTTTTTTGATAGAACTTTAAGGTGACAGTAAAATTATAATACTAAGAGAACTCCCATATTCTCTGTATAAGCCTCTACAGTTAACATTTTACCACATTTACCTTTTCATTCTATGAGAATGGAAACATTTTTTTTTCTGAACCACTTTGAGATTAAGTTGCAGACATGAGGACCCTTATATTATAATTCAGGGTGTACCCTAAAGCAGTGATGCTCTCCTGTATAACCAAAGTTTAGTAGTCAGGAAATTAACAGTTTGTCATTACATTTTAGTTGTGAAGGCCCTTCATTCTCTTTTTCAGTCTGGAACCGTTCCTTCATTTTTTCTTATTTTTCAGGACCTTCATATTTTTGAATAGTACAGCTACTTGCTCTATAGAGTCCCTCATTTTGAGTTTGTCTTATGCTTCCTCATGATTCAGTTTAGGTTTAGACTTTAGTGAGAATATTAGAAAGTAATCCTCCTGCCCTACTCTATCATTCTGTCCATCTGTTGGTAGATGTCTCTGATTCCAGTCCAACATCGTAGGATTTGTGGGCCATCCCTTTACCCATGTGCTGGTGGCCATTTGGGGGGAGCTCCTGGCTCACTGAGGTGAGTCCATGGTCACGTGCCTGGTCCCAGCATATCGGCACACGTGTCAGGTGATTTCCCCAACCCTAATTAGAACCTCTTGCAAACATGCAGCTTGAGTCCCTGGTAGAATCCCTGGTCATGTTCTAGCTGTGGCAAACATAATGGTTCATGCCTTTAACCTTGTTTTTGGTCCCTCTGATTGTGATCTTGCAAACAATCTGGTCATGTCTCCAGCCCTGACCAGTGCGGAGGGCTGTATGCTTTTTTTGAAGCTTTGATGTTTAAAGTGACTTTAAGACACTCAGTAATATCACACACATTATCATGAGAAATATTTAATATGGTCCAATTTCATGTTCTTTTATTATATCTGAGAAAGTAAGAAACATTTTTTTACACAGAACCGATAGTAAAAAAGTTTTCTCATTTCTTACTACAGCTAGAGAATTATTTGGTAGCTCTCAGAAACCAGCTGCCTAAACTACCATTACAATTGGTAGCTGTTGAGCAGCCCCTTGTATTCACAGTACCATGGAGAGCCTTACAAGGTTGTCTTAGTGGAAGGTAGGGCAAATTTTTTACTTCTCCCCTGCCCATGATTATCTCTGCTTTCCAGAATTACTAACAGAATATATTCTAACCATTGAAGTCTTATCCCCAGGCGTTATTTTGAGAGGGTGGGAACATAATATAGTTTCAGATTCTTGCTCAGGCTCTTAACCCCAACAGTGGTAACTTTCTTTTTTCAGTTCCTACAATAAATAAACACCTTTATTCATTTCCTTTAATCCTCACAGTAATTTGTCCAGGTAAATAAACACCTTTATTCTTTTCCTTTAATCCTCACAGTAATTTGTCCAGGTAAGTGCTCTATCCCCAGGTGAGAGTACAAATGCTCAGTTGACAAGGTAAGTTTTGTAACCAGACAAATAATGTGTTGTGGTGCTGAGATCTGAATCCAGCTCTGTTGAACTTCACACCCTTTCTAAAATTATACTGCCTCTTTTAAAAATTCACTGCTTTTGATAACTGTTGGACCACTGTGTTGTACATTTGAAACCAGTAGCAGTGTATCAATGATACTTCAATAAAAAAAAATTCACTGCTCTTGTGTGTGCACATGTGCGCACATTAATATATGAATTTATGGTTATATATAGATGTATTTAAATTAAGCAAGTGATCTATGAAAAAAATAATTTTTTTCTCCCCAACTATCTTAGTATCTAGTGCTCTTAAAAGAGCTTCCTGGAGAAGAATATCCTTTGCCAATGGAAGATGTTGTTGAACTTCTAAAACCGCTATCGTAAGAATTTAAAACTGTATGTTATGTAACTTTAAATTTATTAACCATTGATGTGTTCTTTTATGTTTATAAAGTTTAACTTTTTCCACCACAGCAGTGTGTGTTCTTTGTATCGCCGTGACCAGGATGTCTGTAAAACAATTTTAAACCATGTTGTTCATGTAGTGATGAACTTATGTCCAGGCAGTATGGACCCTGAGAACACAAGCGATGCTCAAGGACAGTTTCTAACAGTAATTGGAGCATTTTGGTAGGTACAAACATTTTGTGGAGTTTTTAGTTTTCTTTCTACTCCTTCTGGATACAAATGCAGATTTTGCATTTCTGCATTAGTGATTTCTTCTGATCCTCGATTGCAACCATATACATCTTTTAACAGTAGTAATTTGTGTTTCCCTCAATTGTTTAAAGAACTTAGATTGTTTCTTGTCTCAAGCTTGGCTTTCTAAAGTGTCTTTAGTGTCTTTCCCTGTGAATTTTGAATCACTTTATAATTTGACATGTTGGCAAATAAAGCAAAGTGTAGCAAGTCTAAATCAATTCAAGTTTATGTTCCTAAAATGAACAGATTGGCCCTGTCACCATCCTGTTATTTCATGCATGTGTGTGTGAGGTAACACCATAATACTTATATAGGGGTTCCTATATATATAGAGAGCCCATATACCATTTGATTGGTAAGGACTTCTGAATCAGTAAAGAATGTGGTTTTGAATCTTTGATATAACAACAAGAATTTTATGAACTGTTTTCCTTTCACAATAAGTTTACCATAATGTTAGCTGAAGTATGATAGTTCGCCAATGAAGCATAGTCATGTAAAACAAGTAGTATACATTAAAATGAACTTCTTTTCAAACTAATTTCCTTTAGCTGGAATTTTTTGGAAGGTAAGAATATTGGCATTAATGAGAATTAAATTTAGCATGGAAAGAAATTATGGAGGCAACCTAGAATAACCCTACCAGTGATTGTTTTGACAGTGCTTTTATTGGAATAATTATTTGACATTGAAACACTTTCATTTCAGGCACTTAACAAACGAGGGAAAATGCATATTCTCTGTAAGAATGGCTCTAGTAAAATGTCTTAAAACTTTGCTTGAGGTGAGTTACTCCACATTAAATATTTGTAAGGTTTCTGTGAAAAATTTTAAGTAGACTTTATTTCTTTTGGTTAATGGGTGATTTTTCTCTTAGTATTTCATATTTAACTTCAGTTGTTCTTTTCCCATAGGCAGATCCTTATTCAAAATGGGCTATTCTTAATGTAATGGGGAAAGACTTTCCTGTAAATGAAGTATTTCCACAGTTTCTTGCTGATAATCATCACCAAGTTCGTATGTTGGCTGCAGTGTCAATCAATAGGTAATGGGTCAGATATTTGTGAAGCGTCTGGAATGTTGCAGGTGGCAATGCAATATCTAGCACAATCATAATTCACTAGTTGTGATATTAAAAATAGCTAACACTGAGTATATACTGTAGGCCTGGCATTTTACGTTTTCTCTTAATTCTGACAACTCTCTCAGATACTGTTGTTTTCTCCAATTTATGGAGGAAAATTCTGTGTCTTAGAAAAATAAAGTAACTCGCTCAGTGCCATTCAGCTAATAAGTGATTGAGTTGAATTAAATATGTTTACTACCACTTACGGGTGATACAGAATGTTTGGATATTACTGTGATATTTTTTGAGTTTGTAAAATGAAAATGATCACATTTTACATTGCGATGATTACAATTATTTTTATTTAAGTGAACATACAGTTATGCTCTGGAATAACTCTATGATAGGGATCTGTTTTATGTTTAGAATCTGAAAAAGAAAATAATAATTTCTTAGGACTGCATGTTTATCAGGTTATTGAGTTGATTTTACAACTCTACATCACAACCTTCCTCTGTGTTTCCCACCTCACATTTCCTGTAAATAAAGCCCTTCTCTGCTTTATTTTTCTCTGTAGCATTTGTCACCACTTGAAATAGGATATTTTAACACATTTACCTGGGTGTAAGCTCTTAGGCAGTTTTGTCTGTTCTGTTCATTGCTGTATATTTAGCATCTAAAACAATGATTGGTATGTGATAGGTGTTTAATAATTTGTAAAATGAGCATTTTTTAAAAAGGAATTATGCTTTAAAAATATCAAAGCTAAAAATCTTCTGACTCAGAATTTTACTGTTCAAATAGAAGTGACCAATAATTAAAGATCTCTATAAAGATATATTGCCCCAGTAGTCACAAATAATGTATGTGTTAGATAACCTAATGTATACTATGTGTATTAGATTACCTAATCCAAGGTTTGAATACACTCACAGTAATATTTTCTAACTTCTCAGGTTTGGGATTCTTTTCAATAGTACTATAGTGCATTGTGAGGGTTGCTAATGAATGTGTACTTTACTTCAAGTTCTTAAAAGATAGAAAATATGTATACCGAAGTTAGAGATCAAGTGTTATATAGGACCCTAAGTTGAATGTAATTAAGCATTGTAGTGGTGGCATTGAAAAAGTCTTTTAAAATTAAAAAAAAGTATAAATTCAAGAATGGCATGAATATATAATTTCTGTTTTTGTTGTTTACTTATTAGATACCCAGTATTGGACTATTTTAAGAGAGGTTAGAAAAATTGGAGGAGTCAAAGGAATACCAAAAAGTATATAAGTTGTGTTTACTAAAAAAGCATGAAGGAGAAAATTGACTAAGGAGTTTGTCCTTAAATATGATAGTGTATTATGCAAAAAGTGTATTGTTCAATTCTTTTCTATCACATAAAAAAAATTGTAATGGAACATCAAGACATTAAGCTATCCACTTTCAGGGGATAAGATGAGTTTTTAAATATTAGAGCAGGTTGACATAAGAGTCTATAGCTTCTTTTCCCAGAGGACAGTTTTTTTTTCTGGCTAGTTTGAGTTCAGAGCTATTCAGGTTTGGGCAATAAGCTAAGAGATCTTTTGAGACCCTTTTAGTTCTAGGAGAAAATGAAGTATATGGTAAAGACTCTAATATTAAGCAGTGGATCTCAGCCTGTTTAAGTGACTCAGATTTCATTAAACTCTTGAAAGAAGACCTAGCATGTTCATATGTCTCACAGAGAGGTTTATTTTTGTCCTATAGTATGCTTTGGAAAGCAAGATTTAAGTAAAAAATTATTTCACTTTTTGCTTTTTTTTTTCCTGTAAGGTTATTCCAGGATGTGAAACAAAGAGGTTCTTCCACACTATTGAAAGCACTTCCTTTGAAGCTTCAGCAAACGGCTTTTGAAAATGCATACTCAAAAGCTCAGGAGGGAATGAAAGAAGTGGTAATTTCAGTAATGCACATTTGCTGTTATCATGTACTTGCTGTAAATATGCTATATATTACTTTACCAAGTTTGGCCTAAGACAGTTTTTGCATCCAGTACTTACAATATAAAGCTAGACTAAAACTGTATGAATTGATTGCAATTGCCTTATGTATAGAATATGTAGGTTAGAATTTGTCGAATAGTGGCAATTTCTTTTGGTTCAACTATATGTAGCATTTTTATGGGAAACTGAAAATTTGCTGAGCTTATATTGGAGTATAAATAGCTTTCTTTTTTATTTAAAATATCTTTTTTTGTAAGATCTGATTACAAGCTAATTCAGAGAACAGGTAATAGTAGGAAGAAATGGATTGAGAAAAATGTTCTAATAAGGGAAGATCAAATTATCTTGCTGTTCTTCAGTGAACCATGTGATTTTCATACTTCTCTGTAGAGTATTTTTTCTTAAAATGGCAAAAGTTGTGTTAGTGTTAGAATTTATTTATTCATTTATTTATGCCTTGATTTGTTTGTAAAAAGTATGAGGTGGTTAATCAAATGGCTCTCTAATCTATGATAGCATAAAACTGAAAAAGACAGTTGCATGAAAGAATGTGAATTTAGAAAAAGATTTTAATAGATTAAACAGATGAGTGTAAATAATACAGAATTTTGTAGAGATAGCACATATTACGTATTTAAAATATGCCTGTTGTGCAAAAAAAGGAATGGCAGTAGTTCTTTTGGAAACAGACCTAAGAAGTTTTGTATCTTGAGAACAATTTTTGTCTTAGATGTCGTTAAGAGAAGCATACTGTCATGAACAAGTTGATAAAAAGAACTTAAGTCTTGTGTACATTTTAGAGGGCAGCTAACATGTTGGGTTTGGTTCTGAGTAAAAGTAGATATTGAGAGAGTCTGTAGATCCATCTCTTAAGAGGAATAGGTGAAGGAGCTGAGTTAGTGGGAACCTCATAACTATTTTCAGATGTGTCAGTGATTGACATTTAGTAAAGGAATTAGGTCCTTACTTTATTTTGTTCCAAAAAACAGAATCAGGATCAGTGAGTAGCAGTTTTCTAAAGGTGAAGAGAAACATTTGTCAAGTATAGCTAGTCAAAAAATATACCCAGCTATTGGGATACTATAATGATTGATAATTAATAGAAGCATACAAGTATCTTTCTATCTAGTTGGATGATTTTATTCTTCCTTTTGATAATATATATCACAGTATTTTTGAAAGTATAAGGAGCTATATATTTAATTATTATAATACAAGCATCTTGAAGGTGTCCTTCATAATTGAAGAGGGGCCATTAATCTCCTTGTCTTGCAATTCGATTCTTTTTCTTTAAAGTGCTTTATATATTGCTTAAATGTTCCATAAGATCTTATCAAAAGCAGTCTTTCCCACTCTGGAAACTTTATTTCCTCAAAGTCTCTTACTCTTAGCTCTATCACTGTAGGATTTAAAACTGTTGACTGGCTGCTTAAATGTTGTATGGTTTACTTTGATTTTAGCCTGATTGGTTTATTGTAATGTTTAAATATTTACATTGCATTATTGTTTTTCAAACTCTTTGAAGTCCCACAGAGCTGCAAACCCTGAACTTTTGGATGAGATTTATAATAGAAAGTCTGTTTTACTGATGATGATAGCTGTGGTTTTATACTGTAGCCCTATCTGTGAAAAACAGGCTTTGTTTGCCCTATGCAAGTCTGTGAAAGAGAATGGATTAGAACCCTACCTCATTAAAAAGGTACATGTAGATGACTATTTTTCTTATAATCTTCCTTGGGTAACTTAAACAAAAAAGTTAAAGGTAGATTTTTCAAGTGGCACTTACTAAAGACTTGGAGACAGTTTTATTTTTTATATTTGGAATATTAGAAAGCAGCAACTCTTCAGTGTATTTATTCATGTGCACAGTGTCATTTTACATTCAGCTTTAAGAGCACTCCCAAGGCATTCATTGCATAATAAGAGTGAATGACTCTCATCACCCAGACCAGGCCCTCAGGAATAGCATTTATTGAGGGAAACACATGGCACAAAGAGCAGAAGCAAGTGTTCTGCCTGGTAGATTCTGGGTCAGGACATTGGGATCTAGCAGGGCAAGAAGGTAAATTACAGAGCTGTGAATCTTTTGCGTGACTCAGGAAGGAAGACTAGAGTCCAGCCTTGCAATTACATTAGCACAGTGTTGTAGAATGTTCGCCTCTGCCCTGTTCTAGCACTTCAGCATTCATGATTTGGGAAGTTCCAGGCCTTTCATTGTAGTTTTTCACATAAGGACGTAGTGGCCTGATAGGTCGTTCATCATTCTACCAGCATGATTTCCGGGGAGCTTTACAGTAGGTTAACCTATAGGTAATCTGTCATAGAAAGGTGAACCTTTTACTCCTCAGTATTAAAACAAGTTGTCTTTTTTTTTTTTTAAGTCTACTGTTGCACTACCTAATTATTGTTGTAAATGAAATACAGTGTTTGGATTTTTCTTATTTGGATTTAGAACTGACAAGAATTATTTTACTTTAGATCTTCCTTTGAAATGTAATCAAAAATTAAAATTAGAAAAGTGCAACCTATTTTTCCATGTTTATTAATTGAACATTTATTAAGGGTTTGCTATGTGCCAGGCACTGTGCTATTATATTGAATACATTTTTCTCATTAAGTCTTGCTAAAGTAGGTACTTTTATTATCCCCATTTCATAGATGAGGAAATCAAGGTGTGGAAAAGTTAAATGAATACTTCAGTCATATTACAAATAAATATTAACAAGAACTTAATATTTCATTGTATCATTGATTTATTATTTCATTGTTTTCTTAAAGGTTTAACTTCTTTATGATTTATACAGGTTTTAGAAAAAGTTTCTGAAACCTTTGGATATAGGCGTTTAGAAGACTTCATGGCTTCTCATTTGGATTATCTGGTTTTGGAGTGGCTAAATCTTCAAGATAGTGAATATAACTTATCTTCTTTTCCTTTTATTTTACTGAACTACACAAATGTTGAGGATTTCTATAGGTAGGTCTACATATGGCACATGTGAAATATGTTTGATCGTTCTCCTCCCACTGTACACACACACATGCACAGGGCTGGGAGGCTGCGTGGTATGAGAAGCAGGAGAGCTTGTTTTAATGAAAGCGTGTTGAAGAGAATCACTGGACTCAGTATCTGGTCCTAGCTATGTGACTTTAGGTAAGCCATGAAAACACCTTTTGGACCTTGGTTTTTTAATTGGTAAAGTAAGGGAGTTACACAAGGAGATCTTTACGGTCTCTTTCATGTTTAATTGTTGATAATCTCTGAAAAATCTAAGATAAATTACCAGTGCCTGATTATTTCTCCTTGTTTCTCTTTTTTGCTGCTTGACTATGGACTATTTAGTCATTACTTTTATTAAATTTCAAGTTTAATGTAAAAGTATTTACTTTGTTAACTCTAACTCTGGAGAAGAAACTTTGGAAATGCAGATGTTTGAAACAACTAAAGAGTAATGTTTAGATGGTCAGGATGATGGGCAGGCAGTTCATAATTGTTTAGTGGTCCTTATTGTTCTTTCACTTTGGCAATAACAATATTTACATTTATTCTTTGAATTTATGTACTGCTTTCACATTCTATTTTGCTATAATTTTACATAAATTATTTGTAGTCAGTGTTCTTACTATTGCAATATCTTCTTACCGCAGAAGAAATAAATGTAAATTAAATTCCCACCTACTTTTGATCACAGAATTAGGGTGATGTATTCTAAAATGCCTCTGTTTTTTTAATGTGATTATTTAGTGTTTATTTAACTTCATTTCTCCATTTATAAAATTAGTAAGAGTCCTTAATGATCTGGATAAAGTGATGCTTGGGTGCCCATTAAAGCATTTTATTATTTTAACTATATTGTAAAATCTTTCTTTGAAAAGTTATATATATTTAACAAATAATTCTGTATTTTTAGATCTTGTTATAAGGTTTTAATTCCACATCTGGTGATTAGAAGTCATTTTGATGAAGTGAAGTCCATTGCTGATCAGATACAAGAGGATTGGAAAAGTCTCCTAACAGACTGCTTTCCAAAGATTCTCGTGAATATCCTCCCTTACTTTGCCTATGAAGGTACAGGAGACAGTGGCATGGCACAGCAAAGAGAGACTGCTACCAAAGTCTATGATATGCTTAAAGATGAAAACATATTAGGAAAACAGGTATGGCTTCAACTTTTAACTACTTCTTATCTCCTAACTGAGATGGATCTTAAAATTTTTAAGTCTATTTATTCATTTATGCACTTAAACTTAGTATTTGGTAATCACTGTCTAGCAGAGGCAATTCATGAGTTCTTTTTTGTTGTTATATAGTGTTCTTTTCTTTTGATGGGCTTTTAAATGAAATTGTTTTTAATCAGAAATTTAGAAAAAACTTTAGAATACTTTTTATTGCTTTTTCCTTTTTAAAATTTATTTTAATTAGTAGTGATACATGAATGCAAACTTGTTGTTAAATTCAAACAATACAATACTGAACAGTGTATAGATTTTCTCCTTTTTTCTTTTTTTGCTGAAATGATGGCATGGATCATTAATAATATATGCCTGAGGGGAAGGGTAGGATCTTCACATTAGGTTCCTTTCTTGTCACATTGCAAAATACTTTTTTTTTAGCAAGTGTGTTTATAAACCTCTTTGTTCATCAAGTAAATCAGCCATTTGCCTTTTGGCTTAGATTTAAAACTTCACAGTTCTCATTCATTTGGGTGAAGTATAATGGAGTAGGCCCATTCTTTATTTTTAGAGAATTATGCCCTTTGTGAGATTACCTGTGGCAGGAAGCAGATTGATGGAGAGTCTGCTTCTGTCAGGGAGGATTTTGGTCTCTTGTTAATGACAGGGGATTATGGGTAGCTTCAGAATATAGGATGCCAACCAAATAGAAATCTGGGGATAAGTCATGCAGGGAACAAAGAGATGATTATTGCCAGTCACTGGGAATTCTTTTTTTTTTCTTTTGTGATGCCAACCAAATAGAAATCTGGGGATAAGTCATGCAGGGAACAAAGAGATGATTATTGCCAGTCACTGGGAATTCTTTTTTTTTTCTTTTGTGTGTGGGGGGATTCTTATTAGTAAAATTCTGTAAACGAGATAGAGTTCCCAAAAAAATCAATAGTGAAGTGCAGATTGAGGAACAATATGGATCAGTGGGGAATTTGTTGGCAGGAAAATTATTAGGTTGAGGAATTTAATGTTAAACCTAAAGCCTCAGTCAATTAAAGTGATTATTTAAAATTAAAGAGTTAGTTTGAGGGAGTCTTGTTTGATATGATTTCCCCACTTTCCTCTCAGTCTACAGGTTGGCTGCTGCATAGCAGAAGAAAGTGTAGTTAACTGTATGTCAAAGATTTTAGATCTTTGGTAATTTATTTCCTTCACTGAATAAATTTGGAAATGAGGCAATAATATCAGCTCCTTGAGTTGTTTTATAAGTTACGGACATAAAAATTTAAATGTATTTTAATTTTATATCATTGCAGATTGATCATTTATTCATTAGCAATTTACCAGAGATCGTGGTGGAGTTACTGATGACATTCCATGAACCAGGAACTTCTGGTACCAGCCAAGGCACTTCAGGGTATGGGTATTTTAAACTTAGAGAATTGAATCAGCTGCAATTTGAGAAGTTCCTTATGAAGTTTACTGGTTGACACCTTCCAATGTCTATTTCAGTTTTTAAGCATGCACTCTGCTTTTTTTTAAATTTAAATTTAAATTTTTTAAAGTAAGATATCATTGATATACAATCTTATGAAGGTTTCACATGAGCAGCATTGTGGTTTCAACATTCACCCATATTATCAAGTGCCCACTGACCCCATTGGAATCACTGTTCATCAGCGTGGTAAGATGCTATAGAGTCATTACTTGTCTTCTCCGTGCTGTACTGCTTTACTGTGGTCTATTTCATGGCACTTGGCTTTTTAAATCGTTTCTTTAAGAATAACTACCTTTGAATTAAAATAATTACATATCTGCTTCTACTGAAACGAATCCACATTAATTGTTCTTCCTGGTTGACCACCTTGTTTGCAAATCCAGTGACATTTCTCCATCTTTCTGTAATTGTTGAGCATTGTGCCATCTGTTGACTCCTGAAATTTTCTTCTTCATGACTTATTCCTTGTTCTCTTCTCCCAGTCTATGATGCATGTTTCTGTATCACCTTTTCTCTGTCACGCTCTTTTGCTATCAGAATCTTAATGTACTACAATTTTATTTGTATGTGAAACCCACTTGATTGTATATGAAAGTATTTTTCCAGCTTGATTGTAAGCTACTTAAAAGCACACTTTACATTTTTTAAAATATGTCCTAACAGTGCTAGGCATATAATATAATATCTATCAAAGTATGTTTACTAATATAGTTTCACTTGATGTAAATAGTATTTGATTGCTATGTCTTAAAATATTACTGCATTTGCAGTACTAACATCGAGATTTAATTCACATATGACATGAAGTAGTATTAAGGCTGATTTGTGGCATTGCCATTAACTTTATAAAAGATATCTTAAGCAAATCATTTAAAATTAATTGTCATAGAAGGTAAAGGTATTTATATATATTGATGAATTTATATAGATTGGGGTATGTCATTCATTATTTTATTAAAAGTCTAGATTTTCAGTAGGAAATTACTTTAAAATTTGGAGTTGTTATAAGCTAAATTTTCTTTCTGGAAGTTCACTGGTCTGTCAACAAAATCTGTTTTTTTCTTGGTTCTGAAAATAATGACTGCATTTTTTCCTGTAACTATTAGGGATTTGGATCCTGCTCCTAATCCACCTCATTTTCCGTCACATGTAATTAAAGCAACATTTGCCTACATCAGCAATTGCCATAAAACCAAACTTAAAAGCATTTTAGAAATTCTTTCCAAAAGCCCTGTAAGTATACATTACTTGGATAATTACTGAAGAGAGAATTCTTTCTTTTTCAGCTAGAAAATATGTGTAATTAAATTGTAGAAAGTATAAACAGAAGGAAAATTCTCATTTACCTTAAGAAGGATAAATTAAGAATTAAGAAGGAAAACACTCACTTATGAGTTTATATCTAGGTATTTTACTTATCATTATTAAATTGAAATACGTTAAATATGAGGCCTGAATTTCATGAAATGTCAGTCATATATTGGCTTAGGCAATATATATTTTTTAAGGAATATACTGTTAGTGTTTACAAAATGAAAACTACAGTTTAAGATAGTAATTTTCTTAATGTAGCATTTTGCATTTGATACCAAACCCAAAACTAAATTCTATTAATTTAGTTATTTTGAATATAAAGTATATTTAATATAGCTGAGTTTTTGTGATTAGAAGAGTTTTTACTAAAATGTATCTTTATTTTCTAGGATTCCTATCAGAAAATTCTTCTTGCCATATGTCAGCAAGCAGCTGAGACAAACAATATTTATAAAAAGCATAGAATTTTAAAAATATATCACCTGTTTGTTAGTTTATTACTGAAAGATATAAAAAGTGGCTTAGGGGGAGCTTGGGCCTTTGTTCTTCGAGATGTGATTTATACTTTGATTCACACTATCAACAAAAGGTAAATAATATCTTTAAACCAATATATAAGTCATTTTTCTACCCTATTATCTAAAATGAACTTTATGCTTACAAGGGCAAGAAATCAGAGTATTAATTTCTGAATTTTGTGTTTTGATATATAATTCTTTAAAAATTGTATTACTACTTCTCCAGTTTTAGAAATATTAAGTACTAAGGGTCTTCAATATTTTAACAATAAATATCCTAATTTTAGATGTCCTGAAACATGTGTTATGGTTCTGGTCAAAAATTGTCATGGATATGGGTTGGGAGGGTTCCCCACACACATCCAAGGAATTCTCTGGACACCAGCTGGGTGTCCTGCAATTCAACTCAGTTTGATACTGTTTACCCAGAGATAGTGTGAAGTTCCACAGGTGAAGGGATCAGTCCTACAAGACTGCCCCTTTCTTTTTCAGACGCCAGTTAAAAGCCCAGAATATTACCTGTGCTTCTAACCGACCAGATATAGATTAGAGGTTCCTGTGACCCTTCTTTGGGTTTGGTTAATTTGCTAGAATGGTTCACAGAACTGAAGAAACCTGTTTACTCACTAGATTGCTGGTTTATGTAAATGAGTGTAACTTTCACAAAGTTTGAAGAGCTAGATTGAAGAGATACACACAGCGAGGGACGGGGAAAAGGCACAGAGCTTCCATGGAACTCTCCCCACATCTGCACAGGTTCACCAACCCAAAAGCTCCAAAAGCCTGTCTTTTTGGGTTTTTATTGTTTTACAGAGGCAGGATTGATTAAATCATTTAGCCACTGGAGACTGATGTAACCTCCAGCCCCTCTATCCACCCCAGAGGTCAGAGGGTTGGGACTGAAAATTCCAGCCCTCTTAATCACATGGTAGATAAACATAACAAAAGACACCTTTATTGCTCCTTACAGGAAATTCCAAGAGTTTTAGGAGCTCCCTGCTAGAAACAGGGATGAAGGCCAAATGTATATTTCTTATTATAAATCACAGCCACAATTACTATAGGGTTGTATATTCAGTTTACCATCTCTATTCCTTTCCATTGATTTTAATGATATTTCTATTATTTGTTTCCTTATTAGTTGATAATGTTGCCATCAACTAAATGTAAGTCCTTCAGAGCACGTGAAAAAATCTGTTTCCATTTTGTTTTCTCATATTTTTGTTTTTGGCCTTTTAAAAATATCTCAGTTTTTGCTTTAATCTAAATAATGTGCATATATAGCCATTCAATCTCTTTCGTTCACTATTTTTTTAAGTTTTTTTATTGTAGCAAAATACATAATATAAAATTTGTCATTTTACTAATTTTTAAGTGTCCAATTCAGTGATATTATGTTCTCAGTGTTGTGTAACCATCAATACTGTTTCTAAAACTTTTCATTACCTCAAACAGAGTACCTGTACCCAGTAAGCAATAGCTTTGCATGCCCACTTTCCTTACCTCTGAGGACCTCTAGTCTCCTGTCTCTGTGAATTTGCCCATCCTAGGTATTTCATATAAGTGGAATCAAAATATTTGTCCTTTTGTATCTGGCTTATTTCACTTAGCATAATGTCTTCAAGTTTGATCTGGTATGTATCAAAACCTCATTCCTTTTTATGGCCAAGTAACATTCCATTGTATATATATATATACCATATTTTGTTTATCCATGCACCTCTGATGACACTTGGGTTGCTTCCACCTTTTGGCTGTTGTGGACAGTGCTGGAATGCACATTGGTATACAGGTATCTGAGTGTCTTTAATTCTCTTTTGTGTATATACTTAGGAGTGGCATTGGTGGGTTACATAATAATTCTGTGTTTAACTTTTTGAGGAATTGCCAAGATGTTTTCCATAGCAGCTGCACCATTTTATGTTCCACCTGCAGTGTACAAGAGTCCCAGTTTCTCCACATCTTCAGCTAAACTTTTTATTTTCTGTTTTTTTTTTTATTATAGCCATACTAATGGGTGTGAATTGGTATCTCATTGTGGTTTTGAATTTGCATTTCCCTAATGACTAATGATTTTCAGTATCTTTTCAACCATTTGTGTATCTTTGTAGAAATGGCTATTTGGATCCTTTGCCCATTTTTTAAATTGGGTTGTCTTTTTGTTGTTGAGCTGTAAGTGTTCTTTATGTATTCCGGATACTGAATTCTTAATCTTAATACATGATTTGTAAATATATTCTGGGTATTGAATCATTTTATATGAATTTCAAATAGTTTCTCCCTATCCTGTAAATTATCTATTCACTTTCCTGATGTCTTTTTATGTGCAAAAGTTTTTAATTCTGATAAAGTCCAATTTATTTTTTCCTTTGTTCCTCATGCTTGTGGTGTTACATGTAATATACATACATAAATACAAGGTCATGAAGATGTACCCCTTTGTTTTACTCTAGGAGTTTTATGGGTTTTAGCTCTCATATTTAGGTCATTGATCTGTTTGAGTTTTTATATGTGGTGCAAGGTAGAAATTCAGGTTCATTCTTATGAATGTAGGAATCTAGTTGTTCCAGCACCATTTGTTGAAAAGACTATTTTTTTCCCATTGAACAGAATTGGCACCTTTGTCAAAAATCAATCAGCCATTGATATAGGAGTTTATTTCTGGATTCTCAGTTCTATTCCATTTGTCCTTATGCTAGTACCATGCTGTTTTGATTACTGTAGCTTTATAGGAAGTTTTGAGATCAGGAACTCATTTATTCTTTTGAAAAAAGTCCCCTGTTTATTCTTTCTCAAGATTGTTTTGTCTGTTTGGGGTCCCTTGCAATTCTGTATGTATTCGATGATCAGCTTTTCTATTTATGCAAAAAAGGCAGTTGGAATTTTGTTTGAGATTGTGTTGAATAAGGAATTATTCAGATAGTATTGACATCTCAACAGTTTGTCTTACAGTCTATGAACATGGGGTATCTTTCCATTTATTTGGACTTCTTTAATTTCTTTCATCCTTGTTTTATAGTTTACAGTGTACAAGTCTTTCATATTTTTGGTTAAATTTATCTATTTAATTCTTTTAGATACTATTGTAAATGGAATTGCTTCTTAATTTCCATTTTAGATTGTCATTGCTAGTGTATAGAAACAATTGATTTGTGTGTTAATCTTGTACTCTGAACTTTGCTAAATTTCTTTGTTACTGCTAGTAGATTTCTTATGGATATTTTGGGAGTTTCTATATAGAATCATGTTTTCTATACATGTAGTTTTACTTCTTTCTGATACATGTGCATTTTTTTTCCTGTCTAATTGCTCTGGCCAGTTCAGGACAATGTTGAGTAGCAGCAGTAAAAGTAGGTATTTTTATCTTGTTCCTGATCTTAGTGGAAAAGCTTTCAGTCTTTCAACATTGATTATGTTGTTAGCTATGGGTTTTTCATAAGTTACATTTATTATGTTGAAGAAGTTCCTATGCTTATTTTTCTGGATGTTTTTATCATCAAAGGGCATTGGATTTTTTTTAAGTGCCTTTTCTGTGTTAGTAGAAATGGTAGTTTAGTATCTTTCTTCATTAATGTGCTGCATTATATGGGGGTTAACTTTCTCATATTGACCCACTCTTGCATTCCTAGGATAAATCCTACTTGCTTATAGTGTGTAGTTCTGCTGTCAGATTCACTTTGCCAGTATTTTGTTGAAGAGTTTGCATCTATATTCATAAAGGGTATTGGAAATTATAATTTTCCTGTGGTGTCTTTGTCTTTATGTGGCTTTGGTATCGAAATTGCCAGCATTATAGAATAAGTTAGAAGGTATTCCCTCCTGTTGTTTTTTTAAGATGAGTTTGAGAAAGATTTTGATTAATTCTTAAGTGTATTCTAGTGTTCTTCAGCTGTTTTTAATGTAGGTGTTTACTGTTGCAGATTTCCTTTGGCTGCCTTTGCTGTATTCCTTAAGTTTGGCATGCTGTGTTTTCATTTTACTTTGTCTCTAAAATGGCATATTTTAACAGTTGTTTGAAATACTTGTCCAATATCTATAGTACTAATATCTGAACTTTCTCAGAAACTGTTTCAGTCATTATATTTTACTCCTTTAAGTGGGCCCTACTTTCTTATTTCTTTGTATGCCTTCTGATTTTTTTGTTGAAAACTGGTTATTTTACTATTAAGACATCATAACTGTGGAAATCTAATTTTCCCCTTCCTCAGGATTTGACTTTTTTATTTTTGAAGGCTGTAGTAGTTCATTTGCTTCATAAGTTTACTCACTTATTTTTGCAAAATACGTGTTTTGCTGTGCGCTGTCATGAAAACTTTTCCTTAGCATATGTTCTGATAGTATTTTGACAGAGATTTCCTTGAATGTCAGGGAGAGAACACTAAAACCTCTCCCTGTCTTTGCAAACCATTCTTGTTTGTTAGGACTCTCCTTCAACACTTAGGTGGACTTGCACTGAGCCCTGGGGTCTGTTTGTTATTTCTGTCAGGAGGGGAGCTTGGCGTTGCCTACTGTATGTCATTTTGCTAATTTGACTTTGCTTTTTTGGCTTTTAAACCATTTAGAAATTAGATATGAAAGTGACTTTTATGTCAAGCCAATTCAGACTTAGAGCTGATGAATAAAAATGACTTTTGAATGAGCTTATGTCAGAGTAGTTTCCTAGAACTTACTTTTTTTTTTCCCCTATATTAGGCCTTCCCGTTTCATGGATGTGTCATTACGTAGCTTCTCCCTTTGTTGTGACCTGCTAAGCCGGGTTTGTCACACAGCAGTAACTTACTGTAAGGATGCTTTAGAAAATCATCTTCATGTTATTGTTGGCACACTCATACCTCTGGTGGATGATCAGATGGAGGTTCAGGAACAGGTAATTTCCAAATCATTTTAAAAATTGTATCTGAAATATGACATGTTTTTGGAAGAAGCTGAATGTTTTATGTTTATTTGGTAAATTGATGATTTTAGTGAAACTATTTCTTGAAAAGTGGTTAGAGAAACATTCTCAATGAATTAATCTTTGTAATCATTTGATTATAGAGTATATAATTATTTTGATCTAATAAATAACTTAATTTCTGTCTCTTACATTGAAGTGTAGAGGTAGTCAAAGCTAGGGATAGCAGCTCACACAACTTTGATGGTATGTGATGCTGTTTACATAAAATGTTGCAGTAATACTGGCATATTTATACCTCAGTGCCCATCCTGTAATAGCACCTTACATATTTGTTGAATTATTTGAAAGCACAGAAATACCAATAGCTAGGTACCTTAAAAGTAAGTAGAACATTTTACCTGAACTAAGTAGTTTTTATCATCTATTATAGCAAGTTTGATTTGTTTTACTTTAAAATGTAATTAAGCCATTTCTCCCTTTTTGAGTTTTTTCTTTTTAAAAATTATATTTAGGTATTGGACTTGTTGAAATACTTGGTGATAGATAACAAGGATAATGAAAACCTCTATATGACGATTAAACTTTTAGATCCTTTTCCTGACCATGTTGTCTTTAAGGATTTGCATATTACTCAGCAGAAAATCAAATATAGTAGAGGACCCTTTTCACTTTTGGAGGTAATAAGTATTTCATTATTTTACTATTTTGTATTAGAGAGGATAGACGAATACTTTTTTTGAAATCTCTAATGCTCTAAAAATAAAAAACAATCTCTTTTAAAATCGTGATTTTAAAAATAAACATTTAACCTCTCAAAACAGAATCTTAGTATATCCTCTTATATTGCAGTATAAATATAAATATCAGTTTCTTGGTAAATATGAGAATTTAAATATTGAAGAAATGTGATATAAAATATGCTTGGGTTTCATAAATACGTAAGATCTATTAATATCTTAAAATTATCTGATCATTTGAGGGACAGTTTAATGTTTGAATTAGAGATGATATTTAACTTTTTTAAAGAGGTTTTCAAGTTTCAATCCTGTTTCAACCTTTATAAGCTTCAAAATTATGTTTAGGTATATTTTTGTTTATAAATCTTATAATTTAAAAATCATAATATGTATTTGATATATGTCAATATGAAAAATAGTTACATATACCAAGATGTGAAACTAGAGTTACAGTATTAAGTAAATAAAATTTTAAGCTTTTTAACCTTTTCAAACAATATGGCTTCTCTCTCACTTACCAACTTTACATTTCCCTGTATGGCCCCAGAAGATGAC